AGATTCATCATGTTTCAGTATATATATTAAATATATATTAGTATTAATATTATATCATCGTTTTCAATACTATGTATCGATATTTCGTACAGCACATTGATCACGCATCCAGCATAATTATTGTGTTATTATATAATTAGGTGGACGGGGGAGAGGTTATAAGTATTTTTATTAGCAATGAAATATAATCAGTGGTGTCACCGTTTTCGTGCGCACGTGCAGGTAAGGTATAAAGGTGATGGTTATACGTTTTACTATTCNAATACTATGTATCGATATTTCGTACGGCACATTGATCACGCATACAGCATAGTTATTATTATATAATTAGGTGGACGGGGGAGAGGTTATAAGTATTTTTAATAGCAATGAAATATAATCAGGTGTGTCACCGTTTTCGTGCGCACGTGCAGGTAAAATATAAAGGTGATGGTTTTACGTTTTACTATTCTACGGTCGCCCGTGCGCTCGCGTTACCCCGCATACCCTTTGACTGCTATCGGTTGCAGATGTTAAGACGAAAGATTTTACAAAATATAACTATCGGTGACGACGAACCTATCAGTCCGAGAGCTTTAACCTCTCCCCCACCCACCTACCCACCGTTTCGAACAAATATTATCTATACAATAAAATAATAAATATCACATAATCGTCGAGCGATTTCCTGTACATAGATTNCGCACGTGCAGGTAAGGTATAAAGGTGATGGTTTTACGTTTTACTATTCTACGATCGCCCGTGCGTTCGCGTTACCCCGCATACCCTTTGACTGCTATCGGTTGCAAATGTCAAGACGAAAGATTTTACAAAATATAACCATCGGTGACGACGAACCTATCAGTCCGAGAGCTTTAACCTCTCCCCCGCCCACCTACCCTCCGTTTCGAACAAATATTATCTATACAATAAATTAATAAATATCATATAATCGTCGAGCGATTTCCTGTACATAGATTTTTGTCAACGACAATATAATTGTTATTTCCGTTTGTATCATCGACCTACTGGTTCAACGGTCGACAATAACACGATCCTCATCTACCTACATACACACACACACTTTGTTAATATGATGCTTTAGAAATTTGTGAACACATATATGATATGAAATAAAAACAAATTTTTAATTTTCCCGGAATATTATATTTTTAAATAAACATACATCCAAGAACACTTAATATATGTTCTTATATTTATAAAAATATTAAAACCTTATGAGCTATTAATTAACCATTTTCGTTAGGTGAAAACTTTGTAAAATGTACATTCTTTAGTATTCGAATCCGTATGAAAAATAGAGAAAGGTAAATTGTCGTCTATAAACAATTGGTCTAATCGTGGACACTCCATGATCTCCAGATTAATAAAGTAGACTTGCGGAATAAAATCTACGATCATTTTCTGTTTCTGTTCTCCCTTGACGTATATGTGATCGAATTTCAACGAGTTGAAAACACGAGTTCTTTATACTCTACATCGCCGTATTCTACGGGTATATTATGGAAATTTCGTTTGAGTCATTTATTTATATTACGACTTTTTCCGTTTTAAGCACTCCTTGAATTTCTGAATATCCAATGTTGAGTTGCTCACGTATCTGTGTCGATTATAGGCATTTCTTTTATCAGATATTTATTATCCCGCCGTAAAACACATTGAATATCTAAAATAGCGGAAGACATTATTAAGCACGTCTTTCTCACATAACGAATCTGTTTAAACTGAATTCAAGCGATAGATTCGATAGTAATAGTCAAATATGTTTTATACCTTATTTATTCTTCATAATTCTGTATCCAATATGAAATATAATCGACGACGGCGACAACGGATCTGCACAGGTCTGACTAGCGATGGATAATTATAGAACTACGTGTTTTTTTTAATTTTTTAAAAATGGATTCCGAAAAAAGTTAGTACATTGCGAGATAGTGAGAGTTTAACGATAAATTGTTCACCCTGTACATCCCCTAGAATATTTATATTGAATTTCAATTTCCTAAGTACGTATTTAAATAATCTGCAGCCTTTAAAAAAAAGATATTTCTATATTAATATATTTTTCCGGCAAAATTTATAACTAAGAAACGGTTGGATTTGGCGAACAACAAAAACGAAAAATCGCAAGACGATGTTTGTGATTTAAATAGAAAACTGCATGAGATAACTGAAAAAAATAGAATTAAAAAGTTACATAGTGCCGAAANAATGTATTATAATAATATTTAATTGTAATGTTTTAATTGTAATAATGACAAAAAATAATAATATACCTACTATAAATAAAATGTATACAAAATTTTCATTTATTTTTTAAATTAATTTTGCCCCCCCCCCTAGAAAAATGTCTGGGGACGCCCATGATTGGATTTGGCGAACAACAAAAACGAAAAATCGCAAGACGATATTTGTGATTTAAATAGAAAACTGCATGAGATAACTGAAAAAGTAGAAAACGTCATTAAAATGAACTAATTTATCCTAGAACTTAGCTTTGAAACATGGACTGAAACATGATGAATCTGTAGCTAGTACGAACAAAGTTAGTTATTACGTAGTGTTTTTAGAAAACGGTGTTATTTATTTTCTAGATAAACCTAGATAACAACTATACCATGAATTAACTGTCGCACCTATCAGCAGTATATCAGCTTTTTTTTTTAGTGATAAAAGAAACAAGCCATAAAAGAAAAGGGTTACGAAAGCCTACGTTCAAGTCAGGCTATGTGCAGAGGACCATTCGAATTAACTATCGAATTCGTTTTCGGCGGTTGTCCCGCCTCCGAGAACGACATCGCTATTCCACCACCGTTGTTCGGAACTACGGTGATAAATGCATGATATATCTTTTCTCGGCATAAAACTTTCAGATTGCAAACGCAGGCTACGGGCTTCAATCCTTCCCTAGTACAATACTTGTCTACCAGCATTAGTATTGTCGGTTTGATTGTTAATATGCTAAAACCGATACTTTTACAGGCCATTTTACAAATATGCTCGCCTTTTCTTGTAAATCTTATTTCGTCCAACTTTCCACCTCGGACTGTGGCAGTCGACTCACACATTTCTTTAGCCTTAGCTTCGTTGAATTCTTTTCCTGGTTAAAAAGTAAAAATAAAACATACCTATAGTTATTTAATTATTGTTACTCTATAACAAAACAAATTCGGTACGTAATTTATACAGGTGCTTAAATTAAATAATAGAGGCATCCTAAAATGTAACTATTGTCATTTATATTATTTTTTTAGCATTAAAATATTAATTTTTTATTAATAATTTTATTTTATTTATAACTAATAATAAAATGTATACAAATAGTTTATTTTTTAAACTTTATTTAATTAATATGTATAGAAGAATTATATGTGTAAGCAGGTCTTGTTAATAAGATCACCCACCAGTTAAATATAATTTAAATTATAGCCCGCTTCCAAAATAAATTGGACAACCGTGGTATAGACAAATTATCATTTTTTCGTGTTTTAATTAGATGTATTGATGGCATTAATGAACATACATTATACACTATTTACACTTAAATTTACGTTAATAAAATATTTTACCAAATACGTATTTCGGGTTTATATTGTCACCTCCGCCTGCCCGACAAAAGTCTTTTTTTTCATCTCTGGTGTCACCAGTATCATCGCCGTCTNGTTAATAAGATCACCCACCAGTTAAATATAATTTAAATTATAGCCCGCTTCCAAAATACATTGGACAACCGTGGTATAGACAAATAATCATTTTTTCGTGTTTTAATTAGATGTATCGATGGCATTAATGAACATAAATTATACACTATTTACACTTAAATTTACGTCAATAAAATATTTACCAAATACGTATTTCGGGTTTATATTGTCACCTCCGCCTGCCCGACAAAAGTTTTTTTTTTCATCTCTGGTGTCACCAGTATCATCGCCGTCTAACACAAAATATTCTATAAATTTGAAATTACTTGTTTTATATAATATTTTTATTATATTTTAAACCTATATAGAGTAATCAATCTAGCGTAAGACACTCAAAATAAATTTTGGTGTTGAAATTTTTGATTTTTGTCAGTCTGTTGATGAGATATTTTACTTTCAAGTTTTGGCTGGAGAAGAGTACGTTCGTACATTATTAAAACGCAGCCTACCGTGCCATGAAGATAAAAACCAATTTTGCTCCATTACTCTCTCACGGCCCAAATTAAATAGTGCAATATCGACAACGGATTGTCGGTATTGTAACCAATTTAGTTTGCATGTAATTAGGAGAGCGTGGTACAACCTAACGTAATATGTGTATATTGAAAAAAATTCAGGTGTAAGGATGAATCTTATTTGGTGGAATTAAAATGTTGAAATTAATAGGAATTTAATAAAATTAAAAAAAAAAAAAAACAACTTATTTGAGAGGATTAATCCCTCGAATCATCTTCGGGTAAGACAACGAAGCGTTTAAAAATCGATGTTCCTCAGCGATAAATGGCTTGACTTGATTCTGTCAATAACAGGAAAACGTACTTTCGACATGTCAGTATTACCTATTATATTTATTTATTATTGAATGAATGCGCGTGCGATTGTTTTGGTTAACTCTTAGAGGCACACACTGTTTTTGAAAATGTGTTTCTTGGAAAATATTAAGTTAACACAAGATTTTACCCCAAAAATAAGAGTAACAAAAAATAACATAATCGTAAAATTATAGAACTACGTGCTTTTTTAAATTTTTTTAAAAATGGATTCCGAAAAAAATTAGTACATTGCGAGATAGTGAGAGTTAAACGATAAATTAGTCACCTTGTACATCCCCTGGAATATTTATATTGAATTTCAAGTTCCTAAGTACGTATTTAAATAATCTGCAGCCTTTAAAAAAAAGATATTTCTATATTAATATATTTTTCCGGCAAAATGTATAGCTTTTTTATTTTATTTTTACTTGCCTATTGCCTAATTTATTTTTTTATTATTATTAGAAAATGTGAACTTTCGTAAAAACCATTATTTTGACATGTTTACAGTACATATATTAATTTTGAGAGAATTTTAAATCTGAAGATTAAGACAAAGACTAATAAAGTATCAGTACAAAGATTTGATGTAATACAGTACGCCATTTTTCCCATCGGTATACTTAATATTATATTATAAATATAAAGAATAGTTTGTACTACATATTTTGAAACTATTTTAAGTCAACTTTCCATAGAAGTTCAAGAGTCTAAGAATAAGGACTATAAACGCGTCAGAGTACACACTCGGAAAAGTTCTAGAAAAAATACCAACGAAAACCTGTTCTATATGTTACTTATTTCATCGGATCCATCTGATACATATCTATATGAAACCTACCGACAAAATGGAGACAAGAACTCTTTGATGAAGTAAAACTATTAGTAATAGTAGAAAAAAAACCACAAGAAGAAGACGATTTAAATCAATGTCTTGGGCGTTCGAATCTAATATAATGCTATAGAACTTTTAATATATTATTCAATAGTGTATAGGTGCTAACATTTGTGTTAAATATCTTCTGATTTAAAATTAATATATGTACTGTAAAAATGACAAAATAATGGTTTTTACGAAAGTACACATTTTCAAATAATAACAATTACTGTATACCGGAATGGTTAATTGGCACAAAAACAAACATATATTTTTAAATAGCAGACAACTTCCTTTAATATTCAGATTTATTAAAAAGTAAAACAGTTTAGCACTTTTTATGTACAGAAAAGTAGAAAAAACGATACAATTTAGGTTTTTTTAAATCAATGACTTAAGAAAAAAAATACGATTAAAAAATTATTTTTATCTATAATAGTTTAATGTATATACTATGTATGCATGGTTTAAATAATATTGACTATTGATTTTTAAAGTAATTCTGTAATAGTTAAGTAAAAAATAAATACAAAAGTTACACACTTTGCTGGAAAAATTGTATAGTATAGAAATATAATTTTTCAAAGGCTGCAGTATATTTAAATGTACATAGGAACTTGAAATTTAATATTAAAATTCCAAACGATATATAGAACAATTTTTTTCAAAAAAATCAACATTCTAAAATGAGACTTTTTGCCTCGTAAACTCTTCAGACCACTGTGGCATCGTAAGTATAAAAAAGAGAAAGAATGGGGGCGCAATAAATCTGTGTATGATGATGGAATTGATGATGTAAGTATACAGAACCTTTTGATTTCAAAGCCGATGGATTTTTTTCGTCGGCCATAGATGTTGGTAAATTCGCTTGCACTGAAAATAGAACATTGATATAAATGAAACATAAAATCAAAAATCATCGAAAACATTATTAAATAAATATTATATTATAGATATGGTGACCAGACGTACTCTTTCTCATAGAACAATACTCTTTTTGGATGCATTATCTTATGTCCTTAGCAATAACGATAATGTTAAGTACATGAAATTGTACTTTTTTTTGAAAATAATATGGGCTAATACATGTTTATGATGTATACATATATTGGTCAATTCCTTCAAGGGAGGGGTTTTTTTTACAATGGAGGATCTAAATTGTAAAATATCCTTCTTTTGATTTTTATATCTGGTCACAAAAATTATAGGTACTCACATTTATCCCAGTCTAT